TAATTATTACAAATGATATGATAACCCTAAATACCTTTCGTACAAAGTTCAGCTATGTTTTATGTAACGAAACCGAGTGTCCGGATACTTATGGACGGTAGTGTATGTGAATCTTCAGATTTTTGAATTTGTGGATCTTCAAGTTTCTGTACTTGATTGGCAAGGTTCTAAACAGGTACACTGTAAGTCTTGAAGTATCTAAATTTGTGAATATTCAAGTTTCTATACTTGAATAGACAAGATTCTAAATAGCGAGCTTGTAAATCTTCAAGTATCTAAACTTGTAAATATCCAAGTTTATAAACTTACATATCTCCAAGGTTCTAAACATGTACCTGTAAATCTTCAAGTATCTAAACTAGTAAATATCCAAGTTTGTAAACTTGCATATCTCTGAGTTTCTAAACCTGTATACTGTAAATCTCCAAGCTTCTATACTTGAGGATCTTACAATTTCTGTACCTGAAAATTTTGCTGAGTTGTAAATAGTGCATTCCTCAAGTTGTTGATTGTTTCATCTTGTAATTTTCAAATTCCCTAATTTTCAACTCCCCAAACTTCTACATTCACAAACTTTCAAATCCCCCAATTCTCAACTCCCCAAACTTCTACATTCACAAACTTTCAGTCCTCCAAACTTTCAAATTCCCAAACTTTCAAATCCCCAAACTTTCAAATCCCCAAAAAATTTCTGAAGCACTAAATTTGCAAATTCTCAAGTTTCTGAAGCACTAAATTTGCAAATTCTCAAATTTCTGAATTTTCAAATCCCCAAATTATCAAATTCCCAAATTTTCAAATCTCCAAATTTTCAAATCCCCAAATTATCAAATCCCCAAATTTTCAAATCCCCAAATTTTCAAATCCCCAAACTTTCAAATCCCCAAACTTTCAAATTCCCAAACTTTCAAATTCCCAAACTTTCAAATTCCCAAATTTTCAAATCTCCAAATTTTCAAATCCCCAAATTATCAAATCCCCAAATTTTCAAATCCCCAAATTATCAAATCCCCAAATTTTCAAATCCCCAAATTTTCAACCCCCTAAATTCCTACATTCACAAACTTTCAATTCCACAAATTTTCAACCTCCTAAACTTGCAACCCCCCAAACTTGCAACCCCCCAAACTTGCAGCTCCTCAAACTTTCAAATCCCCAAATTTTCAACCCCCTAAATTCCTACATTCACAAACTTTCAATTCCGCAAATTTTCAACCTCCTAAACTTGCAGCCCCCAAACTTGTTAGGGTTAATACAGCAACTCACACTCCCCATTCTTCAAAAACCCCCCCACACAGTTAAGTAGTATGAAAGCTGCGTAGCTTTTTAGAAAATTGAACCCGTAGTCCCCATTTCACATCTCCCCACGCATAATAGATTGAAGCGAGCTTAATTCACTTTCAGAGCGACTCGGAGCTTCTGGTAGAGAGTTACAGCGAGGGTGAGGACGAGCCGGCATCCACCCTGAGGAGATTACCCTCGTGTACAGACGTACCTGACGATAATACGGCACCCGTGGCCGCGGTCGAGATAAGGTCGCTGATCGAGAGGAAAGAGGAGCTGGAGAGGCGGCAACGGAAACAGGATCGTCATCGGCAACGAGTACAGGTGAGTACCTAACACCTTCAGGCTGCGGCTGCTTGCTCGTTAAACACCTAGATAGATGATCTATCGATCAGCTCGATCGATACCACGGGCCCGATTGATCACCACTTGCTACGTCGTTATATTGATATTTTTTTTTCGGGGATACGTGTAACGGGATAGAAACAGAGGATCATTGATTTTCAATTCGTTCCTGCTCAATTTTCTGGTCGGTTTAGGAGAATATTCTCGTGGGAACTTTACGGACGGATTATCCTTTTATTATGGGGTTTTTTATGTGGCTGTGAGAATCAGGCAGGTTTCAGGCTGGTTGGGAACTTCAGTTGGGAAGTTTAGGAGATTGGGGTCCTTGGATGTTTGGGACTTTGGGTAATTTGAAACTTGAGGGATTGGGATCTTGGATGTGATCTTGGATGAAATCTTTGATGGTTAGAATGTTGGATGTGACTTTGGATGAGATCTTTGGTGATTGGAATGTTGGATGTGATCTTGGATGAAGTCTTCGCTGATTCGAATGTTGGATGTGATCTTGGATGAGATCTTCGATGGTTCCAAATATTCTAAAGTCCTAATCTTGCATGATTCTGGTTTTACCAAGTATCAAGTTCTCAAACGCTAAAGTCCCATGATAGCAAAATTCCAAAACAGGTCCTAAAATCATAAGATTACTCCCAAAGTCCCCAAAAGGTCCAAAAACCTTGCCTAAAGTCCTAAACATCACGAGTCCCATAATCCGGAAGTCCGAAAGGCTCCCACATAGTCAAATAGCAAAAAATGTCCCAGTACAAAAGCAAACTTCTCTAAAGTATCAGATACTGGTATACTCTTTATCCCCTCATTTGCGAAAAAATATCCCTAGCGATCGAAAGAAGGGCCACATAGTAAGCACAAAATCCGGCCCCGGTTCGATAATAAATATGCAAAAAGGAGGAGCACCGATGTCGTAAATAAAAACGACGTGCCACGTTCTCCACCGACGGTAGAAGTCCGATATAAAAGGACGAGAAAGAAACCGAAGGTACAAGCGAAAGGAGAAGACACGAAACGAGCGAAAGTAGCAACGTGTCCCGGTAATCTCTTGATTTAGTTCGACTTAGGGGACGCGAAACGTGTTTCGCCGACCGCTTTGTCGGCCCCGGATGAAGATACGGGGCGAAAAGAGGATCCCGAAGGAAACGAGCAGCCCGTATCTCGAGCCGAGAATCGAGTCTCGCGATAATATCGACCTGACGGCTCTATTTATAGAATCTTCGAACAGGCCACGCTAAATTTGGATCCGTTTTACGGTCAGGTAAGTCCCTTTCAAAGGTAGGGCTCGGGAAAAATGAGCAGAAAGAACGGAAAGGGTTTCGGGAACGATGTTAAATGGCTCGTAATTTGATTGTTCAGACGTTTCGAGCGAACAACTTCACAGGGGGTAGAGATATGCATGGCAACGCTGAAGGAGATTGATGCTGGGATATGTTAATGTGACTGTAAATTATTGAGATCTATTTTAATCTGGTGCTTCTGGAATGTACAGATTAGGTTTCTTGTGATGGTCAGATGGAGGAAATAGGGGCTCTAGGTTGCACTAATGTACTGTAATCTGATAGGTAGTTTTAGAAGTCTTAAGATTTGAGACTTGATTTTTCAGTGTTCTGAAGGACCGATCTATCAGGAATCCACTTTAATAAGAGTATAGTCTTTCAGAGTTCAAATATCTTAAGCACCGAATTACATTAGATGCTAATGTCTCGAGGTTTTAAAATCTTAAGGTTCCACTCACTCAAGTCTTCCAAAGTTCAAATATCTTAAGCACCGAATTACACTAGATGCTAGTGTCTCGAGGTTCTAAAATCTTAAGGTTCCACTCACTCAAGTCTCACTCACAGAAGGACAATGTCTCAAGCTTTTAGTACCTGAAGGTCCACTCACACATGGTTTCAATCCTCCGAGGTTCCACATACGATTTGGAACTTGGGTGAATGGAACCTTGAGATATTGGAACCTTGGAGAGCTAGGACCTTGAGTGAGTGGAACCTTTGAGGGTTTGGAACTTGGGTGAGTAGAACCTTTGAGGGTTTGGAACTTGGATGAGTGGAACCTTTGAAGATTTGGAACTTGGGTGAATGAAACTTTTGACGATTTGGAATTTGGATGAGTGGAACCTTGGAGAGTTAGGACTTTGAGTGAGTGGGACCTTTGAGGGTTTGGAACTTGGGTGAGTGGAACCTTTGAAGATTTGGAACTTGGATGAGTGGAACCTTTGATGATTAGAAACTTGGGTGAGTGAAACTTTTGATGATTTGGAACTTGGGTGAATGGAACCTTGAGATATTGGAACCTTGGAGAGTTAGGACCTTGAGTGAGTGGAACCTCTGAAGGTTTGGAACTTGGATGAGTGGAACCCTTGAAAATTTGGAACTTGGATAAGTGGAATCTTTGATGATTAGGAACTTGGGTGAATGAAACTTTGACGATTTGGAATTTGGATGAGTGGAACCTTGGAGACTTAGGACCTTGAGTGATTGGAACCTCTGAGGGTTTGGAACTTGGATGAGTGGAACCTTTGAAGATTTGGAACTTAGCAGTTTAGGAACTTTGACATCTCCGAGTTTTTCGATGTGTATATCTCTATACTTCAAGTTGTAAGAACATTACGAGCTAAGTACATTTGATCTCCCAGTATGAACTTCTAGTACAGGTATTTTGTATCAAGGTCTTCCCAACTTCCTAACCCTGGTCTGATTTCAAAGTCTATCACATTTGAATATTGCAACCCGAATACTTTAAAACCTCACAATTTAAAAAAAAAGGATCATTTTCAAAAATGCATTTCGTTCCATAAAAGTTCATTTTAAGCACAAATTGAATTTGGACGAGTGGTACCTTTGACAAGCCATTCAAAGACGATAAATTAATAAAGAAATTGGACGATCCTTGAACCTCCACGCGCATACATAAAGGCGTGACATAATTGAACACCGTTGGAACAGGTTCTCGTTGACCGAGGAAATTGTTCCAGATTCGCGTGAACAGGTTGTTCCTTCCGTTAATTGGTAACACGCGACTTCTGCATTACACATAAACTGGCCAAGATAAGGCGGATATTAGCGCGGGTCACGAGCAAATTTTGTTTCCCACTGTAATTCTTGCGCGGATAGTGGCGGATCAACAGTTAGCGCGGCACGAATGTGGACTGGCACGATTATATATTCAATTAGCCGTGGCGAGTAAACGATACGGATGTTTCGTAAATTTGTTTAATTCCTCGAGACGGAAATGAAAGTGGTACCGTACTACGGTGAAACGAATCGTGCAGTATTCTATTATGAGAACTTGAAACCGTTATCGTGTCGCATCGTACAATTTGCTGTTCTTCTTGTAATTGCCACTTAAACGATATTGTAAATAAATAAATTTAGAGAGGCAGAGAGAAATGTAACAACTATAAGCTATGACGTAAAAATGTTTTTCTTGTCAGAGATTTATGGATAATTGACATGTTTGAAGTCATTGTTAAAATAAAAAGTAAGTGAACTACTAAGGATTGATAAATATTGTTAAAAATACTCTGTTCGATAATGTGACTCTAAAATCATTCTATAGGAATGATATTCGCAAATTAAAATAATGTTGTAGAGAAGTCTGTAGTAAATTATATTGTTCAGGAAATATTAATGAATATATTGAAAGTGTTTTATATCTATTTAATTGAAAGAACTTTTTTGTGGAACTAATATTTGTGCTTTACTTATGGTAATATAAGGACAATGTTATTGGAACTTTCAGTAGTTCAAAGTAACAATAGTCTAAACTTCAAATACAACGAAGTCCAAATACACCAAAGTCCCAATACTGCAAAGACTATACCAAGGTCCCAATACTTGGAAGTTCCAATACTCCAAGCTTCAATAGCTTGTAGTCCCAATACTCTAAAGTCCCAATATTCCAAGTTCCAATATTTCGAAATCCCAATTTCCACAGTCCCAATACTCCAAAGTCCCAATACTCCAAAGTTCCAATACTCCGATTTTCGACACTCTGAAGTCCCAATACTCCAAATCCCAGCACTCTAAAATTCCAATACTTCAAGTCCCAATACTCCAAAGTTCCAATATTCCAAGTTCCAATATTTCAAAATCTCATTTCCTACAGTTCCAATACTCCAAAGTCCCAATATTCCGAAGTTCCAATACTCCAAAGTCCCAATACTCCAAAGTTCCAATACTCCGATTTCCAATATTTCAAAATCTCATTTCCTACAGTTCCAATACTCCGAGTTACAATACTCCAAAGTTCCAATACTTCAAAGTCCCAATACTCCAAGCTCCAATACTCCACAGTCCCAATATTCCCAAATCCCAATACTCCAAGTCCCAATACTCCAAAGTCCCAATATTCCAAGTTCCAATATTTCGAAATCTCATTTCCTACAGTTCCAATACTCCGAGTTACAATACTCCAAAGTTCCAATACTTCAAAGTCCCAATACTCCAAGCTCCAATACTCCACAGTCCCAATATTCCAAGTCCCAATACTCCAACGCCCCAGTACTCCAAGTCCCAATACTCCAAAGTCCCAATATTACACGTCCCAATACTTCACGTCCCAATACTCCAAAATCCCAGTACTCCAAGTCCCAGTACTCCAAGTCCCAATACTTGAAAATCCCAGTACATAAAATTTCTAAACTTACTCAAAGACCCAAAATTCCCAGAATCCTTTTCGCCTATCAAACCGTAACCCTACCGTTAATATGTATAACATGTTAATGCATATATGTATTCAATATTCGTCTCTAGTTTCTCGCGCTTCATCGAAATTTTCGTGGAATTGCTCGAAGGGGACCCTCGAAAAGTTACAATCGAAATTCTCCTCGCCCTCGCGTACAATTCGCATTATCTTCCTCCGTTCGGACGACCTTTTTTTTCCCCTCTCTCGTGAGTCGGAGAGAAAATAAATTCCCCTCTATCTGCTGAACTTTTGCCAGCCACTCTTATCGACGCGTTTCGTTGGGA